TCAGTATGTTCTGCTCCTGTCGTCGGCTGTTCCTGCACCAGTATTACACATTTTCCTTCTCCTGTGATACATTTTTATTTGATATGGTCCCGTGTTTGGTTCTATTATGCTTAATGCCTCAATTTGGTCTGTGCCCAATTTTTATTCCGCCTGCTGTGCCTCTTTGTACGCCGCTCTAATGCCTTAATTTCACCGCTTGACACCATTAATGTTTCATCCCTTTTTAAAATTCGAGCATAATCTGCAATTTATAAATGGAAACATTTGGACACGATGGTGTCGTCGCTCATGCTGCTGCTGCTGCTGCTGCTGATGATGATCCAGTTGAGCTAAACGTTGGATCCGCTCTCTGTGTTTGTCAGGGAGTACTACGTGACCATGGTGAAATGGGCCACCACCACCAAACTGGCCATCAACTGGCTGAACAGAGCTCAGAACATCTCCATACTCACGCTGTGCGAGGCCACGACGGGAGTCTGCACGAAGGTACGGCTTACACTTTAAAGTTACACGTGTTTAATGCAGTGAAGGCTGTTTCCGTGTGCCAACCGACGCCTGTCAAACTGTCTCTGCAGAAACACGAGGATGAAAGCGAAGGGTGGCTTCACAGGCAGGTGAGCACGTCTGCACACGCCGGTGGTTATATTTGGAGCGGTTGATTAAAACATTGAGGTGGTTTCCTTTGCTGTGCTTTTTAATTAAAATCGCTGGCTTTGTTCTCTGGCTTTAAAGCTCAGTGTTGCACAGAAATTAGATTCAAGTCTCAGATTTAACGTGGCAGGTTTCTCTGTGTAACGGAGGAGCTTCTACGTACGAGCGTGTTTTTGTTTTATGTTTCCTCGATTTCATTCTTCAGAACGAGAAGCCTCTGTTCTCCAAAGACGGCCTGAAGCTGTTCTTCACTCGGGCCATTCCTCAAGGAGGCAGAGGCAAATTCTTCCACATCTCCATGTCCATTTCCCAGGTGAGACGATATTGATATATTCACATATGTAACACTGAACATCTAAAGAATTACAGAGCACATTTTTTAATTTGTTATTGAAACGTCACACTAAATTTTGCATGTCGTTGATTGCACCACTGTTACAGTTATGTCAAGTTTTGAAATAAATGAAGCGTTCATTTGCAAAAACAAATAACTCCATCTTCACAAACCTTCAGAAAACCCACTTTTCCATCGTCTGCCTGAGACAACATCAATCAAACTTAAGTTATCTCTATTTTTGTCATTTCTGAGTCAAATCCACTCAGCTTCAGTTTGATTGATATTATCTCAAGTAGGGATAGACTGATACCTCTTTTTGATTTCTGATACCGATACTTCAACTTTGTGAAGTATCGGAAAGTTTGGGGACTTTAGTTACTGACAGAAATAAAAATGTTTGGATGGATTGGATCCAAGGATCTTCTGATCAAAAGTCACTTTCTTGAACCTCCACACTATCAGGTAAAAGCATAGATGCTACTTCTGGTTTCCAGTCTTTGTGCTCAACCTCCTGAAGCTGTGATGGAGCTGCATGGACATCACACAGAGTCAACACATCCTGGAAACTTCAGCTTGAGACGGGATGTGAGCGGCTCAGGGGTGGAGCTCAAAAAACA